TTTTTTTTTTTTTTTTTTTTTTTTTTTTTGCCGGCTGGTACAGGGATCAAAACTTGGACATTGGTGTTATCAGCTCTAACAACTATTTGAATTTCTATCACTGTAGGTTAGCTTTGTCTCTTCTAGAACTTGATAGAAATGGAATCATAGAGCACAGACTCCATTCTTTCCATCTTCTTTGACTCAGCATAATACTTTTGAGGGTCATTCATGTTGTTGTGTTTGACAGTAGTTTGTTCTTTTTTATGGCTGAGTAGTATTCCATTTATGAGTATACCACAATTTCTTGATTTGTTCAACAGTGGATGACTACCTTGGTTGTTTGCTGTTCTGGGCAATTATGAATAATGCTGCTATGAACACTCGGGTCTTTTTGTAGAAATGTGTTTTCATTTTCCCCGGGTAGATACATAGAGTGAAATTGCTCGATCATAGGGAAGATGTTTTTCAGAAACCACCAAACTATTTTACAAAGCGATTAGGGAGATATTTTTCATTAAATTAGACAAACGGTGTCTGAGCTTCCCGAGGGCCATGCTGGGCCCTGTGAGGTCAGAAGGAGGGTGGACAGCCTTTAGAGCGGTTAAGTCACATCCACAAACAATAGCAGGAGGTCATGCTGAGTGTCCAGTGAGTGGAGTGACCCCTTCCAGCTGGGGTATCAAGGCAGGCTCCCTGAAGGAGGGGGCATGTGAGTGGGATCTTAGAAGCAGATCGTGGGGGAAGGGCATCCCCAGCAGGAGGAACCATGTGAGCTGCTTATCTGTTCTGGCTGGTTGTGAGTGGCACGGGGGATGATGAGGGCATGCATCTAGGCACGTCCAGGCAGATTCACAGTAGACCTCAAACTCTGGGATCAGTGGATCAGGCTTTGTCCAGCCAATAACAGAGGCATGATTTAAAGTGTGTTCACTGCTGATCGAGAGTGTCATCATCAAGGGCAGGACTCTGGAGCCAGAAGGACTGGGTTTGAATCCAGTTCTGCCACACACTAGCTGTGGGACCTTGGGCAAGCTCTTTAAGCTCTTTGTGACCTCCATTTCCTCACTGGTGAAATGGGGATATAATCCAATGCATAGGGTCATGGTGAGAACCAAAGAACACAACTGTTAGGTGGCTCAGTGCCCAGGGCATGGTAAGCACTGTACAGTGTGAGCTGGTGGAAATGTTATCTGATTCCTCTGTAACTGATACCAGGGCTGGCACCAAGGCTAGGGGTGAGCTGACAAAAGTCATAAAGATGTAAAGTGGTTCCCAAATGAGCACTCTGGGTGAGCCAGGCCCTGTCCTGGCACTGGGGAGAAAGAGAGGAGGGATGTAGAGAGATTCAAGTCAGAGTCTCTGTTTGACAAAGCTGATGTCACCACTCTGAATACCACCAGCCCAGGCCTCCAGAGACCATCTAGATGTCTGTGCATCAGAAATGGTCTTGACTTAACATGCCATTTGGAAACATTAGTAGAGTAAATCTTGCAGGCAGGTAGGTGACCATCAACCATTATAACGATAACAATGACAAACATACCAGTCTATCACAGCCCAGCCAAAGTGCAAGCCCAAAGAGGTAAATGCAATCACTATCCCATTTCACAGACAAGAAAATTGAGACTCAGTGGTTAAGTCATCTGCCCTGATCACATAGCCTCTAAGAGACGGACTTAGGATTCAAATTCGGGCAGACTGAAGACTACCCTCCTACCACTCTGCTCCAGACTGCACTCTTCATTTCTCGGGCTGGAATGTGAGTTGAACATTTGGAGCCAGCTGCAGGCAGCAACAGGAAAAGGAGGCATCTCTTCCTCCTGGGCTCCTCTCAGTCAACAATCAAGATAAGGGGATCAAAAATGGCCTTGGAGGGAAGAATGAGAGGTACAGGAGGGTGCCCCTTAGGCTAGGAGAGAGGTGGGGCAGGCAGTGACATGACACACCCAGCCCATATTCTGAACCAAAATTCTCAGTATACACGGAGGATCCTCCATGATCCTTGTATATAATATATACATATCCCCAGGGACATACCTTCCCAGTCTCAGCACTTAAGATTCAGAAACAATGAGCAATGAGTGGTGGGAAGAGAGGTTGACAAATAAGCCCTAGAAATACAACTGAGTTAGAATTCCAGCTTCATCAATCACTTGCTGTGTAACTCTGGGTAAGTTGCTCTACCTCTCTGATTGTTTACTCACTTATAAAATAGAGAGGGTAACAGGACCTTCATCACAGTTACTGCTGTTATACTGATTAACAATTCTGTTGCCTCCATGCTCCACCCCACTATCTTCAGATCTTTCTTCCTCACCCAGCCTTGTGGTTCCCATAAATGCATACCCAGGTACTGAATGAATCCACAAAGGCTTGGCAGCAGAGGATAACCCAAATGCATTCATGTTCCTTGGTGAGGGGTCAGGACCCAACACACCCAAGATGGCTCCTGCCCACTAGGACCATCTGTGCTAGACTGTGAGGATAGGCTTTTGTTCATGTATTAAGTACCTACCATTCACTAGGCACTGTGTTAAGCAGTCTCCCCTAAACTTCACAGTAACTGATTCCACAAGGAAACATAAACAAGAGAGTAAGTCCACCCAGCTACTATGTGGAAGACTCTGGATTTGCCCCAGGTCTGCCTGACTCCAAAGCCTGCCTCTTCCGCAAGTTCCCATGTCATAGCATGCCACACTGGCCGCAAGATCTGGGCAGGTGCCTTCCCCTGCAGGGAACATTGCCCATCTGTAAAATATGGTAGCAGTGGTGATGGGAGCAGACAGGAGTCAACCTGTTGGGGGCAGGCTGGGGGCAGGCTGATCTCCTGACCGCCCTCTCCCCTGGCAAACTTTTAAGTCTCATGCACCACCTCTGAGGCCTTTCTAGGTGCTACATTCAAGACTTCTAGACCTCCTGAGGGCTTAGTAGCATGCTAGGGGTGGGGTGACACACGCCCTGGCCTCCCAGGGGCTGTGGGAGGCAGAGAAGAAACTTGCGGACAAAAGAGGGTCCTGGAAAGAGAGTGTAACAGGCCAGGGGAGGACAGCTAGGACACTCCACCAAAGCAGAGAGAGGGTGTGTCTGGGACTGGCTGAGCTCCGCGGCTGGCTGGGCTCCCGAGCTGGCCCCAGAAGCACTTTCACAGAGGAGGGGAGAGGTGAATCACCAGCTTCTCCCACACCCAGCGCCCTGGTAGTAGGAGGTGCTGCTCGACTTGTTAAGTGAAGGTTGAGCTGAAGTAGAAAGTTTCCCAAGAAAGGCTAGCTGCAGGGAGCAGCAGCCTCGGCCCCTCTCGCCAAATCCTCACCAGGAAGAGGACGGGGCCGGCAGAGGGAAATGCTCCCTCCCACAGGAATCCCAGAGCCTGCGCTCCCCGCCCTGTCCGAGCCCCCCGGCGGCGTCGCAGCCGCGGTTTTCCCACCCCTCCAGGGCGGGGAGCTCGCCGCCCGCGGGAAGGCCCTGTCTGTCGGCTGCTGGACAGCTCCACCTGCGCGGGATCGGCCTCCCCACCCTCCCGGGGAACCAGCCCCCACTCTGACCACAGGGCCTAGGCGGGAACTGGGAATGCAGGAGGGGTTGTGGGGACACCTCCTGATTCTCCTCCCCACAAACGCGCGACCCGAGGATGAGGTGGGCCAAAGAATACGGACAAAGGGGATCTGGGCAGGCTGAGAGAAATGAACAATGAGCTGCAGGGAAGCGCAGACAGGGGCCGGCCGCGCCGACTAGGGTCAGATGGCGAAATGCGCCGGGGCGGCCCCTCGGAGGAAGAGGAGGCCCCGGGTGATGAAGAAGTCTGGGTGTGGCCCGGCAGACCAAGGGACACTCACATTTGCGGCCATGGTGAGACCCGGCTCGCCGCCGCCTCGTTCTGCTCTAGGAAGTGGGCTGACGACTGCAGCGCGGAGTCCGATGGCCTCTTACCCTCCCGCGAGCTGCAAAGATCCGCGCGCAACGCAGGCGGGACTTGATTCTGAGTTACGGCCCCATGGGCGGTCCGGCTTTTCTGCGCATGCGCCCCGCAAGGCCTCCTGGAAAGTGTAGTCCAGGGCCGAGAGTTTTCGCCACAAAATTGCAACACGCACAGTATCGCATCGATGCGCCTGCGCGCTGCAAGACTTTCTGGGAAATGTAGTTCCTGCTGCCTGGAGAGTTGCGAGGGGCGCACGGCCTGCTGGGAAATGTAGTTTCTGGCCGAGGGGCCGGGATGGGGCCGCGAAGTCGCTGAGGCAGGCGCGCGGCGGGCAGGCCCGGAGAGGGCGGGTCTGTACGGGCCTCCAGCCGCCCGCCCTGACTGAGCCGAGGGAGGTCACCGCCCCAAGCTGCGGCCGCCGCCGCCACCACCGCCGCCAGTTCTGTGAGGTCTGAGGGCCGGGCTGCGGCCATGGCCTACTGCCGGCAGGAGGGTAAGTAGGGCGGGCTGCCGTGGAGACCGGCCAGCGAGGCCTGCGGAGACACGGGGTCCTCGCAGCCCCTCAGGCAACACGAGGAGTGGCCGGGGCGCCCCATTCGGGACCCTCGGGTGGTCGGGCCGCGGGTTCGCCAGCCACGTTTTGCAGATGAGAAAACCGAGGCTGTGGGAGGAACGCGGCTGGTCCAAGGTCACGGTGAGGCTGGAACCCGGACCCAGAGGGGCCTGCACGTGGGCGATGCGTACGCTGGGCCCGGAGGGGCACGCGAAGGGGAAGCACCGGGCACACTGCGTCTGGCTCGTAACAGGGAGTTTATTAATTATTAATGTCGCTTCTACCACACGCCACGTGTTCCCAGTGTGCACGCGCCTTTGAAAGGCGCATCCCCAGATGTTGGCTCTCGGACGCGGTGTGCTGCGCTGCGGTGGTGGAGGTACCACCAACGGAAGCATTTGTGGGGCCCCAGCACGTGTCTATCGGGCACTGTTGAAGAGCTTTGTAGGGCTTATCTCGTTGATCTTGCAGCAACCCTTATAAGTTAGGCTCTGTTCTCCGCGTTTTACTGAAGAGAAGTAAGTTACAAAGGTGACTTGGCCGAAGGCACTCGGCCAGCAAGTCCTGGAGCGAGGGAGTGAGCCCTGAACTGCGCTCTCCAGTCTAGTGCCCTGTGGATTCCAGGGAGCCCTTTGCTGGGAAGCACCGCCTTCCCCCTTCCGTTCACCTCCTCCCTGCTTCCCCTGTTGTTACCTCCACCCAGGATCTCAGAAGTGTCCAGAGGGGAGATCGAGGGCCTCCCCGCACTGCCGCCAACTGGTTCCTTGTCTCTGAGCTACTACCTAACCCCAGCTGGACCCAGTTTCCAATCTTGTAAACTGAGACGTTGGGTTTCATTCATTCAGCAGATATTCATGAAGTACCTTTTCTGTGCAGTAAAAGGGGGAGGGTGGGCACCTGAGAATATAAAGCTAGAGAGAGTTGGAACTCACTCAGAAGCTCTTTGGTGAATAGTCCAGCTCCCCCAGTTTAATTCAAGGAATCTGAACCCCAGAGAAGGAGGTGACTTTCCCAAGATAGTACATCCAGTTAGAAGAAGAGCTCAGTCAAAAATGCTGAGCCTCTTCTTCCAGTCTGCTTCTAGAACCCCTCCTCATTCCCTGGATCATAAAGCCATAATACTCTAATGAGTATTATGTGATGTCTCTAATGAGTATGCTTTCCGTTGATTACTACTTAATGTGTGCCATTAAACAGAAGTCCTCTGCCCTCATCACTTTGTTAGGCAGTAGATCTCTTACCTTATTTTTAATTTTCCGTTTTGAGTTTCTAATGTACTTCTTCATTAACAAATAAGTTTTGAGCCTTTGGGTATAATGAGGCTGTGCAGATAAATACGACCCATCCTTCTCTTTGAGGATTTACAGGATTCACAGGTTCTCTGGGAAGGGGTGCCAGATCCATCTGCCTCCAAAATATGGAGCCCTGTCTTTTCTTGGTTCTGCCAAAGCAAAACACTAAATGAGGCTTTTATTAGATTTGCAAACCAGGGAGACCACCTCTCAGCATGAAGTGTAAGTCTGCCCAGCAAACAAAAAAAGCAAGGAGGTTTTATAGTGTAAGTTCAGGAAAATCTAGCAGTAAATAAACACCAAACATTGTATAAAGACAGAGGAGATTGCTGACTATGACATATTGAATAATCTCTAATCTAGACTATACAATTCTTAAATGATTTCCCATGTTAGGTTTTCTCTAAACAGTGTCATCTGTGTTTATTTAAGCAATTGTGTCTTGGTGATAGCAAATTCCACGTAAAGAATTTGTCAAGCAATAAATTCTAATGGAAG